TATGCAAACTAAAAAATCTAACCAAAATGCGGCCATTTTTTATTTTTAGGCCACATTTTTGTCCTAAAAAATCTAACCAAAAAATCTAATGAAGTAGCAAATTTTAATTTTTTAGCCGCATTTTTGTCCCAAAAAATCTAACCAAAAAATATAACGAAATTTTTTTAGCCGCTTTTTTAGCCACTTTTTTAGTGCGTAATCTATGATAATATTCAGCAACATAAAATCCTCTAATATGATCTCGACAACGTCCAGATTTAGAACGATTAGGCTTACCGCACTCGGAGCATGGAAAACGTTTTTTGGCTTTTTTGTGAAGGCTGCACCCTTCAGGGCACATACAAGATTTTCCGCAAATGGCACCGGAATTATGGAGATAGGGGCAAGAATATTCTCCGATCATTTTTGAAATATAGAATTATTTATTTAAAGAAAAGATTTTATATAAGTAAAATAAAACGAAACAGTTAGACCAACATGGTAAAAAAGAATAGAACTTGTGAGCGCTGTGGCTATACATGTGCAACACCTCAAAAGCTTCGTGAGCATCTCAAAAGAAAAAACCCGTGCAGACCTCAAAATTTCATGCCTGTACAAGCCCCCATGGCTAAACCCGAAATAATTCCAACTAATACAGAGCCCCTGGTCAAGAATCTCAATGACAGAAAACCAGGGGAAACTGTTAAGCAATGGGGCTCAAGATTGCGAAAAAGATATAAAGAAGTAACATATGATAATTATGATCAGCCAAAAAATTTAGCAGAATGTAAACGGCTTTATAATGATTTAATGCAAGCTGATCCAGAAGCATTTATCCCGCAAAAGCCCTTAGATGAGCCTGCCCATTCGCCAGAAGAAGACAATTTCTTTAGTGATCCAGAAATCGATCATGAAACTGGACCAGGCCCACAAACTCAAAGCAAATCCGCCAAAAATATGAGTCAGAGAGTCAATGCCCCGGATATTGATGAAGAATTTCAGCGTCTAAGTAATATTACAGGAGATCATGAAGAAAATTTAGTATTTCGAGAGCAACAGTTAGGCCCCGCACTAAAAAGACGGGCTGTAGCCGTGCATAAAGCAAATGCCCCTAGATATCATCCAGACAATGGAAGCGATATAAGAAAAATGCTAGAGAGTCAAAGAAAGCCATTTCGGGAAATACTTGAAAAAGAATTTGATAAGCGAGGGCAATTCAAATTTGCATTATGCTCTCTTACAAAATTTCTAGTAGACAAAAAACCGGGAGCCAATAAGGAGGCAGACAAAAATAAAAAATCGCGAACTGACTGGCTAAGAAATAAGCAAATTATAGTATATAATCGGGCAGAAATAGATGATTACATAAGTAATGCTTTCGAACAAATTTTATATCAAGTAGAGGAAAGGGGAGGCAAATCTAGCGCCTAAGGATATACTCCGGAGGTAGCATAGTATCTAGAGGAACAATTTGAAGCTCCTCCCTTACAAATGAGCGTTTTGGTCCATTATAAAGTTTATAGAGTACTGGTTGACCTTCTTGTACCAAATAAGATTCAATAGAGAAAACTTCTGGCGACCATATACAATCAGTGGCTCTTTTTTTTCCGCCTTCCAATTCACCAGGTTCCAAAAGATGCCGAACTTCAGTATAGCTAGGCAATAGAGTTTCATCATAGCCAATTGGTCTATTATATTTTGAGGATGATTTAGCATATACATGTTTCTTTTTTCGAGCTTCAGCAGGGGGCATATTAATCAAAACGGTTACAGTATTATCTAGCTTATTAAGAAAGATATAAAGATCCTTTACCCAAGCTCGACAACGTTCATTTAGAGGTAACCTCAATTCTACAGCATCTTGAATATAGAATGACCATTTTTGCAAAGTCAGATTAAATTTTTCGACAATACCCATACTTCTTTTAGTTTTGGCTATAATATGTTTAACGCCATGTTTTATCAACATTGCATGGCATTCTCCAAGAAATTCAGCCCCTTTATCAGTTTGCAATTTTTTTGGCCATGTAAGTGGGCATTTTCGAGAATTAAAGAGATATTTTAACCCTTCAGCAACACTAGTAGAATCACGATCAGTCAAAGGATAAGTCCATTTAGTACGACTGGCAATATCTACACAGTTAAGAGCATATTTATATATTTTTTTACCAATTTTATCATGAGGCATATAGCACAAATCGGCTTGTATAACCTCCATTGGCACAGTAATATTTATAAACGATGCATATGGAATATAACGAGGTGCCGGTGCATGAATCTGCCAGATAGCCTGTTTATGAAGCCATTCACGTAAATATTTTGGGTGAAAGTTATATCCGGCTTTTTTAGATGCTTCATGCAACTTTTTAGCCGTCCGATAATAACCTTCGGGCCTATAATAAATTAGCTTACAAATCAAGTTTATTTCTGCCTTAGGATCTATCAAAACTATAGGACCACAAGATGCCATCATTAGAGCAAATTCGAAAACTAGAAAAAACGTTATCTACTAATGAGGCATATATTAATAATCTGGAAAAAGCCATCTCAGGTCGGGATGAAGAAATCTCAGACCAGGCCGAAGAGCTAGAGCTCCTTCGTAAAAATAATTCAGATTTGAAAAGGCGTCTCAAGAAGGCATTGGAAGATATAGAGCATAAAGAAGAATCCTTGGTTATTTTAGATAGCCGAATATCTGACCTTCAACAAGAAATAACTGACCTAAAAAATAGAATACAAGATATAACATCCCGAAAAAAGAATTTAGCCATGGCTCAAGCACCTAATGCAAATGAGGTCCAATCCCTTGTTGACTCTATTCGGAATGCATTCAATAATATTGATAGTACACTTCGAAGAACACCTGCAATTCCTCGACCTCTCATTAATAATGAGATTAATGATATAAAAAATGCCGTGATAAGGCTTCGAACTATAGCCGATCAGGAAAAAAATCGGGCAGATATTGCTGAGGGGGAATCAATCCGGCATCAAAACAACCTTGCTACCAGTAAGGCAAAAAGTGATCGAGAATGGGACACATTATCAATAGCACTTAATAATGAGGGCAGAGATCGTAGAAAAGCTGAATTTACAGCCCAACATTATAAGCGTGTGGCCACAATTTTGCGGGCATTCAATAGAGAAAAGCAGACACGCATTGAAAATTTACAACGGCAAAAAACAGCCTATATATATCTATGCCATTATTTAAGACGAGCCCTAGGGCAAATGCCCCCACCTCGTACAAATCTTCTTGGTAAGGTTAATGGCCTACGAGTGGCTTTAGAAGCATGTCAAAAGCATGGCAGAGCATTGCAACAAAAAGTGGATACATGTCAGGCGGATTTATTGCTTAGTGACATTCAGATTGATATTAAGTGGGGTAAGTGGAAAAATCGAACCCGAGATAAAGAGCAAATAATTATGAATTTGAACCAGAATATTTTAAATTTACAGCAACAAATTTTAGCGCAACATAATAATCCGCAAAATATGGCTACAGTTGTAGAATGTTCAAACATTATTGCCCCCTCACTTGCAAATATCCCCGAATTTATTGGGCAAGAGCATCCAGAGACATGGATTGAACGAGTTACAAAATTATTCTTGCACCCTACTATAGCTGGAAATGGTAATTTTACTGATGCACATAAGGTAAGTGTGCTATCAAGCAAAATGGCTGGCCCTTACCACCCAGTTCCTGCGCAAAATAATTATGTAAACCCTGCTGTAAATATCGATTCTCCTGACCGTTTCAATGACTGGATACTTTCAAAATATGCTGAAGAAAATGTAGGCGGTATGACTATGGGCATCCAGGCCATACTCGGTGAAAAATTTAGCCCATTTGATACGCCTGAATCATATAGAGATAGAATTCGAAAAATTTCTATAGGAGTAACTGATGCAATAGCAGTACCAATTCTCATCCAGCAACTTCCGCTGGATTTAATATTATCTGTAAGGATGTATATGAATGATCGCGGAGCTGGAAATCAAACAGTAGCTAATTTCTTTGCAGACTTAAAAAGAGCCTATATTGAAATTCGTGGCGGAGTAGGTAAGCCCCAGGTTCCCGCACAAGCACCCAATACCCAAATACCACAGAATGCGCCTCAAATTCCTGCATCAGAAAATAAACCACCCCCTTTACCTCCAGGACATGATTATAGGCTTGATGAATTTCATATGAATCGGTTTTTAGATGATGTAGCAAAGAAGCGGGACCCCAACTATAGTGGTTATCCAGGAACTGAAATGGCCTCTCCTTTACCAGCAAGATTTCTTAACCCAATAGCAGAGAGAAAATTTAAACTTGCAGATCGTATCAGGCAAAGTGCTTTTGCCGAAGAGAAAAGGTTACAAGACCCTGAAAATATTGATGAATACATTAATGACGAATTAGCATCCTTGTATGGGCAGAAAATGAGTTTAGGTGCCGTACGCAGAAACCCTTCAAAGAGACGTTCCCATAAAAAGAAGCCGGCAAAGAGTAGGGGCAAGGTCAGAAAAAAACGCGTGGGTGCCATTAATACTGTTGATGACTCATATTATCCAGAAAATTCATCTGATAATTCGGAAGATGATTCGGAAGATGATACTGAATATGAGGATGAGGAAGAGACTAATTAT